CGCGTCGAGCGCGTCGGCGGCCTTGCTTCGCGCGGTCCAGCGCCGCCGCGCAGAGAAGGCGGAGCGGGCAGCGCCCTCGGCCGCGGGCGCACTGAGCCCGCCCCCGTCGGCTGTGTCGCAGCCCCCCCCCCCCCCCTCCTTCCTCCGTGGCCTCCCCTGCTGCTGCGGCCGCCGCCCCGCCTCCGCGAGCCCCCATCGGGCCCTGCTGGCCAGGTGAGGACCCCAGGGCCCCATTTTGAGACCCCCGACTCTGGCCAATGTCGGGGGGCTCAAATTCGATTTTTTCGCGAGCCCGCCCGTCCCAGGATGACCCTGTCGAGTCGGGGGCCTGGGAGGTCAACGGCCACCGTCTTCGGGAATCCCGCGTTTCAGGCGGTGATGGCCCTGAGTTTTTGGTTTGTGTGGCGTGCTGGATGTATTGCCTGAAACCCCAGTACTGCCACAGAGGCCTAGCCAAGGCCTGCAGCGGGGCCCAGCGCGCTGACGACCCCAGGGCCAAAAAGGGCTCCAGGGCGCAGGCGCGAAACGATTTCGCGAAGTCGCCTTTGCCTGGGAAATCTAAGCAGCCGATCGACCAGCTGGCTCGGCCCACAGCGGCCACCCGTACCAGGTGGGCCGAGGCGCTCGGCATGGAGCACCTGAGGGCATGGAGGACCTTGTGGCCCCTGTAGGCTCCAGAGCCCCCGCCGTGGAGCCCCCAGAGGTGCGGGATCGGGCACCCGCCCCGCCTGCCCCAGGGAGGCTGTTTCGCCCAGGGCTAGAGGGAGCCCTGGGCTCCTTCGGCTTTGCCAGCGCTGCTGAGGCTCAGGAGCGAGGCAGGGCCGCCAGAGCGGCCAGGATGGCGGACCCCAGGCCTGAAGTCGGCCAAAGCGCGGAGTGACGGTTGCCGCGCTTCGGGGTCTGGTCCTGGTGGGCTGCGGGCCCGCGCAAGCACTGTTTGCGGGGCCGTAAGACGGCGACTGAATTTGTCTGTGCATGATAAGCCCCAGGGTGATAGGATAATTAAACAAAAATGCCTTCACCGTGGTTCCGTCCGGGAGCAGCCCAAACGGCCCATCTTTGCAGCCCTTGCGTTGGACCCCCCCCCCGACAAGCCAGGGCTTTCCGCGAGGCCGTTCGGGCCCGAGCTGGCCTTTAGGGACAGTTTTTTCCTCCTCCTCCTCCTCCTCCTCCTCCTCCTCCTCATCATCATCATCATCAGCATCATCATCATCATCCTCATCCTCCTAGTCCTTCTCCTCCTCCTCCTACTCCTCCTCCTCCTCCTCCTCCTCCTCTGCGCTCTGCCTCATCTCTCCTCGACCTCCTCCTTATCGTCCCTCCTTCGCATCTTGCTTCGCCTCATCATCTCCATCAGCCTGTGCCTCCCCATTATCCTTCCATACTTCCCCCTCCTATTCCTCCCCTCCATCCCTCGCCCAAGCCCAAGCCCAGTGCGAGGGCAGGACAGGGATGGGGAGGACAGGGATGGACGCCCAAGCACAGTGCTGGAAAGACAAAGCATCAACTATCCAACAACAAAGTTGGAGACTAACCCGGCGATGGGGCACGGGGTGGGGCGAGCGAGCACGCTTAAATCACCCGTTTAAAAAACCACGCCGATCGGATCCACCCGTGCCCCGCATGTGTTAAAAAGGCTCGGACTCCCAGCTGTCAGATGGAAGGCGTGTGGGCAGTAAGGGTGGAGCGTGTGCACAAACGGCGTGGGCGTGGCGCTTCATGTCGGAGGCCGAGTTGGTTCCCTTAAGCGATTTGATGATAAGGAGCGGAGGGAGGAGCGGAATGGGAGGAGGCAAAGGCGTGGATCTGACATGTACCTCCGCTGTCGTGCACGCAGGAGGTACCACGTGGGATTATAGTGTGTACCATGTGGACACGAGCTGCCTTAGGCCCTGGCCCTATACCACGAAGGCACTTGTTTGGCAGCATACCTGGGACAGAGTCCAAGTCCATCAAGCTGGGCTGCATGTGCAGCCTCGGATGTAAGAGGCTGGAGCCTAGCGGCTAAGACTTCCAGACGCATAGTACTTCGGTGCCGGAGGTGTTTGAGCAGTCTTGGCCTGGTGTAGAAGTTGGTTATGCAAGCCTGACACGTTCCTGCTACACCAACAGCCTGGACCATGTCGAAGGCGGCATGCTGCTTCGTTCGGTACACGCTCCAAGCAATGGCACGTGACAAAACGGCGTCGCAATCATGGCAAACGAATTGCACACCGCCGGCACTTTGAGCAGTCGAACAGAACAGGGTCTAGGCAGTGACGCTGTTTGGCCAGTATCATTGAACTCCTTGCGCCACAACCACAGACGGCGCATGTCCGCGGACGCGCGAAGCACGGCATGCTCCGCTTCCCTCGCAGCGTGCATCCACCACGCAGGGAGGCCAAGCGGAGAATCGCAGATGGGAAGGATTCGCAGAGCCACCGCCACGGCCGAGGCTACCCGACGCGCGGCCGCCTCTGTTGCTGCTCAGCCAGAGTCAGGCGTCCACTCGCTGCGCGCCACCATGCCCGCATTTGACCTCTCGGTCGAGGACTTGAGGACGATGCCCCAGGCAATCGGCGCGGACCAGTCCTCGGCAACGTCGACCCCATCGAACGTCGGCAAGCGCCGAGAATTTGAAGCGGTTGCTGCGGCAGCGACGGCGGCCAAAGGCGCTGGCAGCAAAGAGAATACTGGGACGGAGCCTGTAAGCGGCGGCGGCGGCGCCACCTCCTCAGCCTCCCAGGCCCAACCCGAACCAGTGCCAGATGACGACGGCGACCTCGCCGACTTTCAAGATTTTCACAAGGCCACGCCTGGATCTGAACCTCCTGCCGCCGACGCCGAGCTGCGCCAGGCCATCGAACAGTTCGAGGGGGGGGGCAGCGACTCCAAGAAGGCTCGGGCGCCTGCGCGGCATGTCGATGGGCGTTGCGCTGGTGGGGCACGTCGGCCCAGGTCTCGCGGCGCCGCGGCGTCACGCGGGCTGTCTCCCCAGCAATGCCCCAGCCAACGAGCCGCCCGAGGGCGGGCGCGCGGCTGGAGACGGGGCAGAGTTCATCGCAAGCGTCGCGGCCCTGCTGGAGATCCCAGGCGGGCAAACCGCGAACAGCCAGTCCACTGCGACAGCGTCGGCATCAACGGGGGTTGGTAACGGAGCGGCGGCACGCACTCGCGCCCGCAAAGCTGTTTCGAGAGGGAGCGGTGCATCCAGCGAGCGCGCTCGATTTGAACAGCCCGACCGCGCGTCGCCATGGTCGCGCGAATCCGAGAGCGTCCCTCGCTCCTCGTCTGCGGTGCCTGTGGCCACGGAGGTTGGTGAGCGGGCCCCGGGGCCCGTTCAAGTCGGTGCCGAGCCACCGCCGACTGAGGTTCTCACTGTGCGGTTCTACAGAGTGTGTGTGTGTGTGTGAGAGGGAGTGTGTGGTGTGTGGTGTGTGGTGTGTGGTGTGTGGTGTGCGGTGTGTGGTGTGTGGTGTGTGGTGTGTGTGTGTGGTGTGTGGTGTGTGTGTGTGTGGCAATCGAGCGTTTTCCTGGGCGACGTGCTCGGCCCACGCCATCCTTCCAAGCGGGACGTTGCGCGGGTTCGAACGCCAACGTAAAGGTCGGTCGGCCGACCCTTCAGCTCGCAGCTCTCAGGCCACCAAGCTCGAGTACGCTGCGCCGGGAAGGCACCCGAGGACGTAGGCGGCTCTCGACCCTGTCTGATATCATGTACTGCAGAGGGGTGGTCTGTCGGGTGGCGGTGCCCTACTCACTGGTAGGGACCGCCGCAGCAGCACCCCCCCCTTTCTTTCTTTCTTCTGTCCCCGCAGGTTCCATGTCCTGAGGGCCTCGGCAATGCCCAGTATGATGGCGTGAGCTTCCGTCGGATCGGTCGCGCAACGTCTGCGCGCGTCCTCCTCCTCCTCCTCCTCCTCCTCCTCCTCCTCCTCCTCCTCCTCCTCCTCCTCCTCCTCCTCCTCCCCCCATTGTTCTTGATGCATTGTCTGGGATAACTCGTATCGCTCAGTTTTTCGCTCCAGGTCCCCGCGCTGCTGTGTGACTGTCGCGCGAATCAGTATGGACGGTGGCGCCTCTCCGTTCGCCTCCCTGTCCCATCTCCCAATTTTGCGCCGAAAATAAACGTAAATTTGGTCAAGCTGGTCGTACGCCTGCCTCGCCCTGACCATGCCATTACTCGCCAAACAAAGCAACATACGCAGACTTGCCAGGAAAGTGATCTGCAGTGAGCCCATGTTTGGTGGCTTTCTCGTGCATGCTAAGCGCAATCTTTCTGACAGCATTCTGCGACTGGTCAAGGCTGGTCGATTACCCCATGGTGATGGAGGAGGGCATCGACAAAAGCGGGCCCGTGGACGGTGGCTGGCAGCCCCTCGAGACCTTGCTCACCACTGAAGAGGAGGGAACAAGCGGGTCGGGGGTAATTTTGCGCGCGAGGTCTTCGGTACACGGTGCACAGGGGCAAATCGCTGAGCGGCACCTCAGCGCTGGTGCCAGACTGAGCAAGAGCTAACAGACCAGCTTCTTGAACATAGAACCATGTCCGTTGGAGACCCTCCTGCACGAGGGTCACGAGGTGGGGGCTAGCCGCACCTTCGAGAGGGGTTTGCAGAGAACAGAGGTGCACGAAAGCGGGAACAAGAGAAAGGGGGACGCTGAGGTGGTCGAGAATATCATCGGATGAAAGATGGCACGCCGAGGCGAACAATCCCGGAAGAACTCTGCAAACAGTCTCCTTGAGGTCCATGAACACAATGATAGCAGTGCGGTTGCACGTCTGTTGATTCTGAAGATACGTGTTCACAATGCCCCCAGTATCCGTGTCTCTCTTGGGAAGGGCTACCATTTGAAGTCCTCTGACGAGGCATTGCGTGAAACTAGCCATGGCAGACCACAAGAACCGGGGACGCTCCTCCTGCTCCTCTGGGCACGCTCCTCCTCCTCCTCCTCCTCCTCCTCCTCCTCCTCCTCCTGCTCCATGCGCTACTCAGCACCCGCTGCTGCAGCAGCGGCAGCAGGTCGTGTTCAGCGACCTCCACTACGACGAGCCGCTGGTGCTCACCTGGGTGTGCAACGGGTGCTACGTCCTGCAGCTGCCCCTCTTCCTCGCTGGCAGGGCCCTGGGCCTCGTGAAGAGCATCCCCTGGCGGCGGCGGCAGCACCACGGGCCCGAGGGCGGAGAGGACGCACCAGCGAAGAGTGCCGGGCGGAGGCGCAGCTCGTGAGAGGGGGGCAGGGCGAGGACGAGGACGAGGACGAGGTGGCAGAGAGGAGGCGGAGGAGAAGAGAAGAGGGGGAGAGAGTTGGGGGGGGAGGGCGGGGAGGAGAGGGGGGGGCAAGCTAAGTGCGCTCGCGCCACATCTGACATCCGATCCCTCCCTTCCATCCCTTCTCGTTGCGCTGTTTTTTTTCTTTATCCTCGGACGCGTATAAGAGCCTCATCTGTGGGGCAGGTGGGGATTGTGGGACTTATTCGATGGGTGGGACCTGTTAAACATGTGGGACTTCTGTGGCCTGTGGGGCAGGTGGGAATTGTGGACCTGTGGAACCTGTGGGACCTGCTGGATTTGCGGGGCCTGTTCGACCTGGGGGACCTCCATGGCCTGTGGGGCCTGTGAGACTTGCGACACCTGTGGGACCTGTAGCACCTGCGAGACCTGCGAGATCTGTGGGACCTTTGACACTGGTGGGACTTGCGGGACCTGGGGGACCTGGGGGACCTCGGGGACAATTGAGAGACATCTGTGGGACCTGTGAGACTACCCTTGTGTGACCTGCGGAACCTGTCGGACTTGTGGGACCTTCGAGACCTGCCACACCTGGGTCCGGAAAAGTGGTCCACGCTGGGGCGAGAGCGCTATTCTGAACGACGGGGGCAAAATGAGGCTAACGCTCCAGCGAGAGCACACTTTCGAACACCGGAAAACAACTGGAGTGCAAAAGCACAGGACATATAGCACGTTTTGAAGTCCGACGTATGAAAGAACAGGACGCGGAGAGGGCCCAATACTTCCCGACAGAGTCAGGGGAGAGAGGAGAGTAGTACTCAGATTGTGTCATTGACGAGGGAACGCGGGGGAGGGGGAGAGGAAGGCAGGGGCGAGGGGGTAACGGAAGGGGGAGGGGCAGGGGAAGTGGGAAGAGGATGATGAGCAGGAAGAAGAAGAAGATGAGTAAAAGGAGGGTCGGAGGAGAAGGAGGAGGAGGCGAAGGAGGAGAAGAACGAAGAGGGGCGGGGGCAGAAGCGAAGACGGGCGAGGAGGAGAGGCTTGGGCGATCGCAAACATGGATTAAATGGGCGTGGATTAGCGACGGGTCCCGTTTCCATGGGAAATCGCGGATTTCAGCCGCCGAACGAGGCGGCACTGGCCGCATTTTGGGACTTCGCATCCATGGATTAGTGATCCATGGATTTGGCGTCCGCGCGCCTAATCCATGGATCGCTAATCCATGTTTGCGTGCCCCCGACAAATGTCCTCCTCCACTTCCGCTCCTGTGGTAGTTGCCACCGGAGCGGTCTCCTGCAGCTTCCCCCTCGGAGTCCTGCAGGACACCCCCCACGCCTTTATTTCAGGCAGTCGAGTGAGACCGAGAGCATTAAGGCCGGGAGCTGTTAGTCAGCGTGTCGCGGCGCCTCTTCTGGCCCACCACGTGTCGGCGCGACACGCTGACCATGTCCTGGTCCCTCAACGTCAGTGCGCCGAGTTTTTCTAGCATCCCGTCCCACGATTCAGAGCGACACGATGTCCGCTTGCAGGACAGCGTGTCGCTGGGGCTGCCGCCGCGACACGCAGCAGTTCCCGACCGTATCTTGCGCGGCCCCGTGCGCTAGGGGCGTCGAAGTCCCCGGCCGCGAGATTTAAGAGAGGGCCCGGAGCTTGGGAGCAAGTGAGGGCCCCGAGCGACCCGAGGAGTCGGCGAGGGAAGGAGAGAGGAGAGAGATGGAGGGCACAGCGCGCAAGCGGTCCCCAGAGCCTCGGAGAAGGTAGAGTTAAGTCGGGCCTGTCCCTCTACAGGGGGCATATTCAAAAATAGTTTAAAAAATGTCAGGGAACGACTTCTTGACGATTTGTGTGCATTCTTGCAGCATGTTTTGACAATTATTTGTTTCTTTCAAAATCCGCCTGTAGGGGGACAGGCCCGACTTAAGGCCTGAGGGGACTTTACGGGGGGGGATCCAGAGTAGGAAAAGGTACCCATACCTATACCTTTCCCTTGTTTTCCCCTTTTCTGGGCCTCCTGAGAGGCCCTCGTCGCCACCGCTAGATTCGCCTCGAAATCCTGGTCAGAACTCGCCCCGGGAGAGGTCCGGGGAGTATCGGTATCGGTACCTTTTGGTTTCCCCAGGGATTTGGGACGGCAGGGGGCGTTGCATCATTGAGGCATCTTGGGCTTGCTCTGGTCCTTCTCCTCCTCCTCCTCCTCCTCTGCCTCTTCCTCCTCCTCCTCTGCCTCCTCCTCCTCCTCCTCCTCATCCTCCTCTTCCGCCTCCTCCTCCTGATCATCATCATCATCATCATCATCATCATCATCATCATCATCATCATCATCATCATCATCATCATCATCATCATCATAATCATCATCATCATCATCATCATCATCATCATCATCATCATCATCATCATCATCATCATCATCATCGCCATCATCACCATCATCATCATCATCATCCTTCTTGTCGTAGCTGTTGCGGGCCCAAGCGGTAGCGCTGCTCACGAAGCTTAGTTTTGTGATGTATTCCCGCATCAAGGAGGCGGTGTGGGGACACCGCTGTATTGGTTACGCTTGCCTTTTTACCAGTTGTAGAGGCGATGCAGAAGTAGCAATGATCAGGCTTGGGACGCCTTCATCCAAACAAATGACGTTTGGCGTGCCCCCACCCCCCTTATCCAGACGCGATTCCCAGACGAATTGACGTGGGAAGCATAGCGGAAAAAAGAGCGGGAGCATCCGCGAAACCAAGGCTCGGGTCAGCCCGAGCAGTCCCCAACAACGACCAACTTGGATGTATTTGGAAGCCTCCTGGAGCCATATTGGGGGTCTCGTGGGGCCGTATTGGGGTTCTCGTCGGGCTGTCTTGGGGGCCGTTGGGGCCCTCTCCGGACCATCTTGAGAGCCACTGGTCAGAGAAAAGGGCCCGTTGACTCCCCCACCCCACCACTTGTTGGGAACCGGAAGAGTCGTCTCTGCCATGTTTCTTAGGGCACTTTGGGGTAATCCTGGAAGCCTATGGTGCCCTCTTATAGTTCCTCTGGGCCTTCTCGAGGCCATCTTAGGGCAATACCGAAGCCTGAAAACCCATCGGAGGTAGAACGTCGAGACGGCACACAGCACCGCAGTATTTGACTACGTTGGGCCTCCGGACTTACCCCGGCGGAGCAAACGGACCGAGGCCGCGGAGCAACTGAAACCAAGCGGCGGAGCAACTGAAACCAAGCGGAGGAGCGGCGGAGCAACTGAACCCAAGCGGCGAAGGGCGAGGAGGAGGGGGAGGAGGCGGAGGAGTGGAAGGGAGAGGAGGAGGAGGAGGAGGAGGAGGAGGAGGAGGAGAAGGAGGAGGAGGATCAAGTGGAGGAGGAGGACCGTAGCCATTTTGGCTCAAGACGGAGCTTACCTCCCGTCCCGACTCCAGAGGCTCGAGGTCGAGGTGGAAGGGCAGCCCCTTCCTCAGGCCTGTCTGCCTCGGCCAGCTTTCGGCAACTTGCTCGTTTGAGCACAGCTTTCGGCTCCCGCGGGGGGCGCAGTGATGTACTTGCGTCGTGCAGGTGGTGGTCAGTTCAATGCTGGACTCGGGCCCATCTGTCCAACGTGCGGGTGCAAGAAGAATCCTGGCCACTTCAAGTTTTGCTACCATTGCCGCAGCCCGCTTCCTTTTCTTCGTGGGGGTGGGCCTCCTCGTGGCGATGGTGCAGCTTGGGGACCCCAGGGACCAGTCAAAGGTGGTGGTAAGGGTCGTGATGGTCACAAAGGAGTTGGTAACACCAATCGGAATGGAGGAACCAGCCCCCTCGACGACCTACATCGGCTCAATCAGTTAGCAGAAGGCAAGCTCAAATACACTCTCTCCCCAGCAGTTCGTGACGCTATTTCGGCGGCATGGACCACGGCCCAGAGTGAGAAGCAGGCCTCTGCCCCGATCAGTCAAAGGATGGCTAAAGTGGAGCAGGACATCAAGCGCCGTGGGAAGATGACCGCCAACATGTCCGAGGCCCACGGGAAGCTGTCCACCCAGATTTCAGATTTGGAGGATAAGCGTGCACAGTTGGCAGCAGACTTGGCACAGGAGAAGATGGACTTGGTTGAGGCTCTGAAGATCGTGGCTATGCGAGTCCCGTCGATGCCCAAGGTCGATGAGTTCGCGCAGCAGCTGGAGGCCTTCAAAGCGCACCTGGCGGGGCTGGGCGAGCAGAATGACCCAGCGGCATTGCGGGCGTCAATGGAGACTGCTTACAAGGACTTGGAGGCCAAGTTCGGTGAGGTTTTTCGCAATCCACACTACCCAGGCCCACGTGACCCTGAAGCTGAACACAGCTGGCGTGGCGCTGATGAAGGAGGTGTTCTGCCAGCTGAGGACGAGGTCATGCATGTTGATGTGTCCGAGTTGGGAGAGGTTGTTGGCTCCGTCACTGGCCACTCCGACGAGCACAAGCGCGAGTTCCTCGACGCTTTTCGCTCCCAGGCAAAGAAGGCACAGCATCGCTCTCCAGGACCGCGCCCAGTGGCTACTTCATTGGATCCGTCGCTACATCCAGGAGGTTCAGCCTGGGACTCTATGCGATAGCCGCCCCTCGGCCCTGTCCTCGTCGGGCAGTGGCCGCGAAGAGGGTGGCGGCGCTACATCGGCATCATCAAGTTCTGGGGCTGCGAGTTCGTCGGCAGCTTCATCTGTGGCGGTGACAGGACCATCACAGACGTTGGCCTGTGGAGTTACAAGTACTTCAACAGGCACTTCAACCATGTCGTCTGCGGCTCGAGCTTCGACCCTCGCCCGAGCGTCGGAGGCTGCGCCGGGCCCTTTTCTCTTGGGGGAAAAAAAGCGAAGTCGGCATTCAAAGTTGTCGCCACCTTTAACGGCACCAGCATGCAGTCAGCTGCTCGTGAGGAGGGTGGGGGGCAGGCTTCTCGGAAAAAGCGCGGCGTTGGCTTTCGGGGCCTCCTCAAGGCCACGGAGGCCCCTGTT